TAATGTCTGATAACTGTAGCCAGGAGGTAATTAGGAAGCGGGACTAAAGAATAACAAGCTTATTCTCTCACTCACTCACAGAAATGTATTGAATGTCTACAATGAGATATGGTCCTGCAGCCAGTGGGAAAGACGGTGGTGACAGCTTATCACAGCACCAAGGAATTCCAGTCCGAGCTGACACAGAAAGCCTCCTCCCCCACACACATATAAATATTGGATAAAACAATTTGAAATCACAGCTGCATTTGAAAGGGAGAAGGAGGAAATTCCAGATTCCAAAATCTAGTGGGAATTCAGTCAATGTCGAATGAGAACTGAAGGGAATTGAAGCCAGATACATGTTACCACCAGGCAGGGACAGACATGAAACTCACAGTCTCATAGGTAAAGGGGCCAGAAATGGTGCCCTATGTATAGCTGGGTGCCTGGAAGGGCTAGACAAAGCCCACCCACCAGCTGGGTAGAATTCCTGCATGGAAACAGGAATAAGAGTATGTGTAGAAAAAAGATGATCGCAAAAGATCAAAATCCACGCTTGTGCCAAGTAATAGAGGTGGCGTCCAACTTCTCATCACTTATAGTGTGGAAACCACCAACAGAGTCAGTGTACAAATTGGTTTGCAATCAATGAAACCCAGTAGTACCCCAGCAGAGGTACACTTAAAGCTTCTTGAGGCATGCCTCCACAACCAGGGCACCAGGGATGCCTAGAAGAAAAACTCCCACTGAAGATGAGTGCTCAGGGTGAAATGACAAAGCACACAAGTCAACAAACTGCCATGAGAGTGAGTGAGACTCAGATTCAACGTGGCACCAGGTTCAGCCACCCATGCTGAGCTCAGATTCATGTAAACACTCCCGTTTCTCTCCATCCACTCAAAACTATCCTGTCCCCCACTCCAATCCAGACAGCAGAATGTCTGAAGCCTGACCTATCTTCCCTAGCTCATGATAATAAATATGCATGTGTACATATACAACACACACATATAACATATGTATAGATTCCCTTTCATTTCATTTCACACACAGCACACCAGTAAAATACGTAGAAGCCCACATTGTTCACATCTATTCCTACTAGCCAGATGTCACCCTGGGTGAAGGGGTTTCTGCCACACCTGGCTACCTCCTCACCCGGCAGTGTGTTGACTCTCCAAGCATGGTCTGGGGTCTAAATCTTGTGAGCCCTTAAGATCCTTAGGGTGGAGGTCTTTTTTATTCATAGGTTGATGCCATTTGGCAAATTTCCACTTTCACTCACAGCTACTGGTGACCTAGTGAGTGATTTCATGTTACTAAAACCTGGCATTCAGACTCAATCATCAGAGATGACGGAGGACTCTAATTCAGCCTCCACCTACAGACCTGAGAGCCAGGTAAGGCTTGGCCATGCTCACTCTGCTACTCACGTGCAGGCCCTGGACATCCCCAGGACTGGAGCAGGTCACTGTCCCAACTGGTTATTGTCAGCTTTGCTTTGAATTGGTGCAGGTTTGGAGCTGCTGCTACATTTGCTTTTAAGTCACAGATCACTCTAGCTTTGGCTGCCTCACCACTGGGTTAGTGGATGGAGGGCGTTCACAGAGCTCTGCACAGTTGTAGTGATTCCTGTTTGCCCCAACAGGGTTTTTAGCCTCCATCTTCCACTAAGGAGGCCTTAGGCACATGGGCCGCAGCTCACCTGAGAACCATCCGCACCTTCATTAGCAGGCCACCCTCCACATCCTTCAAGGTGGCTCTTCATTGTTATCCCCAAGGTCTCTCCCTTGGCCCTTCTGCCACGTTAAGAGAGGTTGAGATAAGAGGTGTTTGCCCCTCTGGGAAAGAGGTCTCCATTACTCTTTCCCCATTCCCTTGGGTGTCTGAGAGAGACCTAAGGCCCACCTATATTTGTCACTTTATAGGGGCAGTAAAATGTAAGGAAGTCACTTCATGTTGGGTGAGGAAGAGTTTTTCAATCATCCATTTAGGAAAACATCCACTGAGAGCTTGATGTGCCCAGCCCAGTGCTGGGGATAAACAGAGGCAAGAGTTGGCTTTCTTGCCACCAGGGGAGCTCAAAGACAGGCACATGTACAGATGGCGACAAGTACACAGGTGAGGACAATACCAGGCTCTGCTTTTTTTTGTTCTAGTAAGTACCTGTTTCACCGACTTAGAGGAAAGGTTGTTGGCAAATGTGCCTGTTCTTTCTTCTCTGCAAGTCTGCTTTAAACCCTGCGGACACATAGCTTAAGAGCCATCGGAATGTCTTCTAGATGGCTTTATACATCCACAACCTCCTTTCCTTTTCCCAGTGTAGAGTGAAATAGCCCCAACAAAAGAGCCAAGTCAGAACTACACAAAGCAGGGCTGGCCCGGTGGCGCACTGCTACAGTGCGCCGCTTGGGAGCACGGTGGCACTCCCG